CAACCATTCTTGTGCCCTAGCCAGGTATTTTGTGACGCGAAATTGCCTTAGGTATCCATTTCGAAACCAGCTTCTAGGAGAAAAAAAATTTACGGAACTTCTTCCAACTGTATCTTCAAGGAGTTTCCTGAAGTTGCGGCCCTAGCCAATCTGATGAATAGTAATCTCACCACTGCCCATTGCTCTTGAGCTGAGAGTAGACGAGGGACGGCACACACTTCTCCATGAGGCCGCTCTTTGGAAACTACAGATCACTCTATCGTCAGGGTCTGAAGGTCGAAGAGTCCTGGCGCGTTTCACCGAGGCCTAGACGGCGCAAAAATATTCATGCAAGGCCGGAGGCGATGTCACATGTCATGTTTATACTTTTTGAACACACACTGGCTTCGATTAAGCAGAAAACTAGCTCTTTTTGGGTACTATCAACAGTTGGACTCGCTTGCCATTGAACGACCACCGCCTTCTTTCAGATAAGGTTTTGATAAGAGAGGGTATAAAAGACATCTTGCAGTAACATTCACATCATATACTCATCTACATACTTACTCGCTGCATGGTAACCACTTTCGGTTTCCACTATGGCTCCGTGGTTTTCTTTTTAGGTTGTGTTTGCCGTGTACGACGATTTTGAGTTACAGATAGATATTGGTACTCTACGAAAACCCCTCAGACAATGGGAATCAAACGAAGTGATCGAGTTTCTCAAGGGGATTATCACCGACTACGAAAGAGAAATATTCCTGCATAACGTGAGTGCTGTTACTAGTTCTCTATGAGAATCACATTCCAATCGCAACATGAACGGCAACTTCTTAAGAAATAACCGTGGCATGTCGATTAGCGAGATATTTTCATCTTTTATTCTTGTGACGGCTTACGTTGTAAAGCTCTTTTTCAGAACCTGACCGGCAGTCGATTGAAGGATTTTTGTTGCATGGACTTTTTGGTGCACATACTTCGGATCAGCGAATCCAGTGCCGTAAAGGTGGGGTAGTTTTCTCTAAATCCGACTCCACTTCCCTTCTCTTTAGAGTGAGAAATGTTTACTACATTGTAAACAAGGTCCTTGTTGCCTAAATCCTTGTTTACCATTCGATGTTTACCAATGGAAATTTTAGGTAATGAGTGTTTTACGCCCATATCTAGATGAAGTAGAAGATACCCAAAGCATCACTAGACGTGAATACCGTTTCGTCTTACGAAGGCGGCACAAGAAGTCAAAGACTCAAAACAGAAAGTCGGGACGGAGATTAGCGGGAGACCAAAGTCGGGAAAATATGCCAGATAAGGAAATTAAAGAAAGGAAGGATAGAACTAAGAAGACAAAGTTACATGACAGAAAAAGCGATAATGAAAGGCATTCAAGCGGAGATGATAATCCGTCGAATTCTGAACTGAAAACGATGATTGAGGATGAATCGCCCAAAGTTCGTAGCTGCTCAACCCAGAACGACCGAACACTTATGGAAATCCTTAGTTCAGAGAATACATAAACATGACTATCTTTAATGAACTGATATTACTGTGAATATGAAATAAAGCAGTGATAATTAATGCGTCATGTTACATGTGTACGTCACCATGCTCGAAGCGAAACCAGACTTTGCTAGTTGTCTCGTAGCACGCGATGTTCGCAAGTTTCTTATTGGTGGAGATTCATGTTCCAGAGTGGGCACATCAGGCTTTTTCAAGAGAAACAGCAGTAACAGAGAGCCATAACACCTCACAACCCAGGGAGACGGGCGTTAGGAGCGGTTTTGGGTAGTCGATTTGCCGCACGCGGCTGTCGCGGACCACTCATTNTTTGTTCTTGTATTTCTTACCTACTGCTGCATCCTGCTACATTCCTTCGCGCGCGACGCCCCTCTCACCGCGACGCGACCATTTCGTTCCTAACGCACCAAACCCCACAACCCGGACAGACGCCGACTGAACTGCAAAAATGGGCGTTTTCACGGGTTTTGCAGCCTTGTAAAGCCTTATATCACTCGAAATGGGAGACGCTTTCTGCAATTGCACCAGGCAACTAGCTTACACGTAACTGTAATATTTGAAATCTCGCACAGAATTTGGTCCGCGTAATCTCGTCCAGCCTTGAGAATGGACAGTTCAAAGACGCCCTGTACTTCAGATTTTTGGGAGTTTCCTCATTTTCGCTGCCTCCCTAGCTTGAACACTTTCGCCACCTGTCTGCCTTTGAGTAGCTTGCTGCGGTTATCTGATCTTATGCTCTTTATCTAGGAGCCCGTAATAGCCACGCTATTCCCAAATCACGCCCTTTGTGGACTAGCTTTATCTAGTGTTTCGAAAAACACCTTACTATAAGCGGAAGGAGCGGAACTCGCTGGGGACAAGATGATTCGAGTTACAACTGTAACATCTGAAATTGGTTGTTCACCAAGAAAAATACGTCTCCGAGTGGTAGCAAGAGCTACCTTCACGAAACAATCCATCACACAAGCCTTGGGTAGAATTGCAGGTTAGCTGCTTCTTATTTGGCATAACAACAGTCCCTACGATTCCGGAAGTGTTTCAAGATAAAAATTGCTTCGAAACAATAGAAACGCGCTTAGAACATTATTATCTTTTTCCTTTTTGTTTTCGAGTCCGACCAAGTTTTGGCCGTCGAGCAGTTTCCGCTATGTCTCGTTTTTTGTTTTTTCAAAGACAATTGCAATTCATATCTATCAAAGATCCTCTGAAAGTCCATATTTCAAGAACGAACACTTGCCTTTGACGATGCTTCTTGTTGTTTTCCTTTTTCCTTTGAGATCCGAACTAAACCGGCTCTCTAAACCACCTGCATCAGCTCCTGCCACTACCTGATTCGAATTCCCTCTCCTTCCCCCGTAATGCAACTCGGAAAAGGTCCATAAAGAGATTAGCTAACCATATACCTTCCATTTATTGAGTCGACTCCTGGCATAATCTCTTGTTCCCAGTTTGCAAGAATATAGCACTTTTATGGGCTTTTTTGACAGTTGGCTTACTTGTAGGCATTTTAAGTGAGGCATCGGGACCAAAAAGAGTTGCTTCTTCCGAGAGGAAAGAATTAGGAGGTCTTGCGTTCCAGTTATGAGAAAACTCGTACTTTCCTTGCAAGATCATTTGTCGCTGCTTTAAAGGCACACGACGGAATGGGGTGGGATAAGAGCTCGATTATCGTACCTACGGTAGGCCACACCCAGAGGTAGCCGTTTTTAAAGAACCACAAGAGGCCGCACCAATCACGATGGAGCGCACATGTTGGAAATTCGAATGACTAGTCGTGACCCACAGGTAAGGCAATTTCTGGCATTCTATGCTTATTGTGGTTAGCTGGTGTTACCTATCTATCCTACTTCATATTCGTGCTTCAATGATAGACGCCAGAGTAGTTTGAATCACCACAGTTCCGCCGTTTACCTCGTACATCCAGAATTGGGTGAATGTTTCGCCCCACCTGCTTGAGTGCCGCTCAAATTCATAGTTCACGATAATTCTGGGTAATCCAGATTATGACGAAAAATGGAAGATAAGGTGGAAAATAGGATCGCATCTAAAAATATAGGCAGCTCTCCGGCGCGTGTCGCGTGCGCACCTCTTGGCCCATTGCCAAAAGTGGTATATTCTCCTCAACTGGAAGTATTTTGCTACTGATTGCTACAATGGCCCGTATGCATAACGCCCGGGGTAGGGGAGGGAGAGGAAATGTTTGCCGAGGGCGTGAGTGTTCAAATGGGGTTTTTGCCTTTGTTCTGTGTCAAGATAGTTGCAATGGAGCTAAGTATTTTCCTATAAACAGGTGAAGAATCGACAGCCCTTGGTAATCATGTGATGTTTGTCTCTGCGACCTTACCTTAGCGAGAGCTCAGAGAAGCCCGACCCCATTGGCTCCCCGAGGGATGAAT